GGTAGGATCATTTGCAACTGCTGACTCTATCTCGGATAATGTGACAGCTTTCGGCAGAGCATTCTTTGCAACGAAAGCAATGTGTTCTTCAGCGTCGTCTTCATACTTCTGAGATTCCGGATCCCCCATTGGGTGTCTTGAGGAATAGTCAGCTGGATTGGAAACACCGGGACGATATTCTACTGTAAAACGATATTGCTGTAGATCCAATAGCCAACGCTCAATCCTGGCTGAGGGTTTGGATGATGGATTATTAAATAAGGTAACGAGAGGCATGTGGTCCGTGATGACTTTGAAGTCAGTACCATATACAAACAGGTGGAATCGTTTGATTGCCCAAAAGATTGACAGAGCTTCTCGGTCTATCTGGGGATACCTTGCTTGGGTTGGAGTACGTGGACAACTTGCATAATGTAGTAGTGTTACTTCCTTTGTTGATGGATTTTCTTGGGTCAGGACAGCACCAAGACCAACGGGACTACCATCAACGAATATAGATTTTGGTTTCTCTGGATCAAAGTAACCCAAGGTGGTCTTCGTTGACAAGGCTGCTTTAGGAGACTCGAACGATGATTGTTCCTCTTCTGTCCACTGCCATTTCACTCCTGTGCATGTGAGCTGACGAAGAGGGCTAGTAATTACTGCGAAATCTTTGATGAATCTTCAACAGAATGCTGCAGAGCTTAGAAGATTTCGTACTTCTGGTACGTTGGTTGGTGGAATGATGCGTTGAAGACTTTCAACTTTTTTGGGATCAGGTGACATTCCTTTTTCTGAGAACACATGACCAAAGAAGAGCATGGTGGGAACTCGAAACTGACATTTTGGAAGATTAATGGTCAACCCATTGTCCTGAAGCTGCTGAAACAACTGTTTTAGACGTCGATCATGGTCGTCATTGTCGATGCCACCAATATAAATATCATCACTGATATTCTTCACACACGGTATACCACGAACTGCATCACTAACTTTCTTCTGAAATATTTCAGCTGCATAAGAAAGTCCAAAATTAAGGCGTTTATATCTGAACAATCCTATGTGGGTTGAGAAGGTTGTTAGTGGTTTAGAATCAGCATGAAGTGGAATCTGATGGTAGCCTTGATTTAAATCAATTTTGCTGAAAACCTTACAGCCATTAAGATCATGTACTACATCATCAATGGTGGGGATGATATGTCGCTCTCGCATAATAGCTTTATTTAGTGCTCGCATATCAACACAAATACGTATCTCAACGGGTTTATGAGGCTTTGGTACAACTACTATCGGTGAAACCCAAGGGGTGGGGCCTTCGGCACGTTCTACTATGCATTCATCTTCGAGTTGCTCTAGTTTCTTCTCCACTTGTTTTCTAACATGAAACGGAATACGGCGATGTGTTAATGCTATTGGTTTAACAGTTTCATCTACATGTATACGTACTGGTTCCCCTTTGTAATGACCCATCCCACTGGTAAGGTTGGGAAAATCCCTAATAAATTTAGGTGCATTGAGTGGTAAACTTGGATCTGGTTGATTAATAACACTGACTGCTTTGATTATATTTAGTTTTTGGGACGTTGACCAGTTAAGAATAGAATTTGACGAACCCTTCGCCACATAAAATGTTTCCTCTGATGAGCCCAGTTTACTTGAAATTTTTGCTTCAAACTTGCCATACAGATTTAATGGCTTTTCACTCATGTAGGGGTACACTTTGGTTTTGGTTTCTGATATTTGGGATTTTGGTACAAGACAATTGAAATCTTGTTCACTCAGTATATTTACTGTTGCTCCTGAATCTGCCATTATTCTAATTGGAGTGTTCCCAATTTGTACTTCAAAAATAGGTTTACTAAGTTGGTTTACCTGTGCACCAGTGGTAAATGTATATTCTTCGCTGTTATCACTGTCAGATTTTTTAACATGACTTATTTCACTAAAATGGTTTTCTGCTGTTACAGTTTTAGCATGCTCTTTACCCACTGGTGGTTTAAATTGATTGTTAATTAAATTTACTACGACAAACCTTAGAGAAATGATTCAATTTTCCACACTTGTGACAACTTTTCCCTTGGGCAGAACATTTACCCCGATGTGGATAATTACCACCACACAGTCCACACTTCGTCTTGCGAGGCACTTTCCTTTGGTTAGGATCTTTCTTAGATTCAGTAAACTTAGCAGGATTATATTTACCGACTGCATTTGAATGCTGTTTTCCATTTCACTAGTGTGCTCATTAGCAGTCTCCATGGCTCGTGCAGTTTTGAGCACATTTTCTAGGGTAAGACTTTGGTCAATTGATTTTCGTCTCAGTCTAAGTGATGAAGTGCCTTGAATAATTTGACGTTTTATTTCCAAATCAGAGTCGGAAAATTCACACTTTCGTGCAAGCAATTGTAAACGAGTATAAAATTCAGTAATGTTCTCACCTGACTTCGGCGTTTGTTGTCGAAATACATAAACGTGATGATCAATGCATTTCTGTGGCTCAAAATATTCTGCAAGGGCTTTGACACAAATCTTGAAGACATCACTTCCTTCGGTTGGCTCGGGTACATTAAGCGTTTCGAGAATGTCACAGGTTTCTTCTCCGACGTAATGCAACAACATGGCTTTCTGCTGAGAATCTTTGGTGATATTCATAGCTTCAAACATGTTCTTTAATCTCTTGAATATTGATACACTTTTCAAATCGTGTCGGAGCGGTTTCTCTCGGATGCAACTCAAACTCTGGAAAGTTTGGTAGGTTTACTGATGTCGCCATTGATAAACTTTGAGTCTTATTTATAAAACTAAAGTTTTACACCCTCGTCGCCATTTGTGAGGTTTTCGATCATAATATAAACTTTTAATCATCTATACATACAGGAATCTATACAATTGCTTGGATATCATATTTACACGTTCTTTTATACCCAGCAGTGCATTGCGGGCTTTGCTACTAATTATACATGTAAATAGATTATATACATAAATTAGCTGATAAAAATTACAAGAGGTATAACTCTTGCCATTTGCCATTCATCAGGAAAGGAGGATAGAGTAATAACCTGATTAAAAACATATGTCAATGAATTTGCTATGACTAGTGCAGCTATCTTAATAATTTTACATGATATTTTGTCAAGTCCAATTGCTTTGTTGCTAGATAATCCACGCAGCAACTGATAAACATGATTAACATTAGTAGGTTGGAATGCAGCAAATTCCGATTTAGCTTTTTTGACATGCAGTAAGTCTCAAAATTACAACTTGATGTGTGAATTTGACTCGCTAGATCTGGTCCAATATTTGAGAAATAGCTATTAAAGCCCTCTGCAATGTCTTTTGGATTGTTTAAAATATTTTCTCCTAATTTCAGTTCGTTTACTTTTGAATGTTTGTTTTGTTTCAGTTTGCCCAGCAAGTTATTAATTGACTTCCATGCTTTCTTTGGAATGTGTTTTTGATCGGCAATTTTTGAGGAATAATAATTCTTTTTAGAATTTCTTAGTTCAATATTTATATTTACAACATGTTTCAAAGCATACCACAAACAGACTAAGTACGAAATACGTATATATTCCATAATTATATAAAGTTTAATTGTGTTATCAACCCTATAAGGGTTCAATAACAATGCATGCAATTAAGCGTATTTGACGTTGCAAATGCAAAACAAACTAGAGGGCACTCAGAGACTGCATACCTCCGCCCGTTACTCGGAAGTGAAACGCAACCTTGGAATTTCCTAAGAAATCCACTTTATAATTCTTAAGCATAAAAGATTTCAGGCCCCCGCGAATTGAAATCGAATTGCTAATAGAACATATTACTGTTGTTGTACTGTACTGTACAGTACTTGTAAAATAAAAACTTTTTAAGTGTCATTAAATAAATGCACAAATTTTGCTTTATGCACTCGCGCGTGCAGTAATTTTCACAGTTGTGCTATTTTAAATTCCCAGGCAGCTAAAATCTTTTGTCTTTAAAACAATGTCGATTTCTTGGGAAATTCCGAGGTTGCGTTCTTTTTATACACCCTGTATTGAAGTAATGTAATGTTGTTAGAATTTGAATGGCTGGCACTTTGCTGAACGTAATAATGCGTAACTCCGTAAGCCTTGTTTTAGACATTGAATTTCGGTCGCGTGAAATGCAACTAAGACAATAGATAATGAAAGCCGAAGCTTAATGAGGTTTATCATCTCATTACTGTCTTAGCACTGAGTGCATAAATTATACACGTCCTAATTACTCATTCAGTAATATATTTTGTTAATTGACCGGGAAAAGCAAGACAAAATTTTGTTCATTTCTCGTTCAATTTTTAACGAAATTCAACCAAATTTTAATCATGTCTTCCTTAGCCGATGGGAAATGCATTCAAAAAATTTCGTACGGATATGTTTGGTATTTCTTGAGTTATCGTGCTCACAGACAAACACACACACATACACACACACACACATACACACACACATATACACACACATACAAACCCAGATGATTACATAACCTCCTGGCGGAGGTAATTAATTTATATATTATTACAAAATGTTATATACTATTATTTTGTTATTTTATTGTTTAAATACAATGGAATAGTATATAACTCCGAAAACGCTTAACATTTTGAAAAGTGGTTATTCAACGTTTCGACTAGGTTTTATAGTCATGATCATGAACGATGAAATTATTACATATCAGTATTTATTATATACTAGAGAGTGAGATACTGAAAAATACACTGCGAGATATTTTTCTAGTGAAGATATCGATGACGTGACTTTTTCCAATTTGTTTGTAAGCGTGAAATTTCACAATTTTTTGCTTGGGACTATATAATAAACAGAACATTACACGCGGTAACTTGAAGATATGAATTTTATCTTTTCGTATTAAAAACAATATTTTACTCACTCACTGACTCACTGCGCTATGTTCTGAAATATTGTATGTATAAATTAATTCTGTATATATTTCAGCTTTTAGCTGCTATACTCAGATTAACATTTCATTAAAATTAAAATTAAAATTCACAATATAGTTTTCACCACTCGAAGATAGAAGTCATATCTTCGCGCCGCCGTGTAATATCCTCTATATATACAAGTGAAGAAGTATGAAAAATACTATCTAGCGAGACCCCCAAAATTCTAATATTCACACATTGACCTTATTAGTGTTTGATGGCAAAGCCAAAGACATTGTATCATATACTGTCCAATTTATTACCATGTGAGCACCATATCAAAGGCTTGTTGAAACACACCTATATCTAGCAGTATAGGCTAACTTGTTTTTACGACAAGGCCAACCAGTCAGATCAGAAAAATGTACAATTTCTGACTATATACTGTCTGGTACTTGTACCAGTCTCCCGTGCTTGAAAAACCGAAAGAAGGACGGGGCTGAAGTATGACACCATCACAATGACGATGACGAAGTTAGCCAACATGTGTCGTTTCCAGTACTTCGTCCAAACGCGCCCAACTGGAATATTGTAGTAATGAATTTGCACAAAATTTTAAAGGCAATTGAAAAAGAAGTCGATTCCAATGCCAATTGCAACTCTTTTCAGCGATTCCAAACAGAAAGACCACACCGAAAGTTTAAAACTTTCTACAAAGTACAACACGAAGTAACCTTGGCTTAAAACAAGTGTACTGTATTCAAAAAGCATAGCTTGAATTTTTAAGTCCGCTTTTAACCGTCTATAATGCAGTGTATCCTGAGGCAATTCATTGAGTCTTCGACAGCAAACAGTTCGATTCAAAAGTGAGACAATGTATGTCCACAATTTCATCCGTATTCGATGGGTCGCCTTTTCCAAAAAGTTCAGAAAACCAGAAATAACCCAATAAAGAGCCAAATGCTTTTCAAATCTGCTTGCATTGTGCGGTATAAGAGTATGACACCACCTCGGATAAAGTATACTAGGACAAAACTCCGGCCGGGGTCTACAACCTCGGAGCTTCGTCTCAACGCTGTCTGTTTACAAATCGCCGCAGGGATGATGGTAAGTGCCGGTGCGATCGCAGCCACCATGAATTTATAATTTTCTTGTTTTACGCTATTAAAAAAAGGCACTATAGAGTATCTGTAGATAAATGCCACTGCAGAACATACAATGAACTCTGCTGAAACTAAAGCAAAAATATGACGCTCAGAATAGGACAATGTTTGATTGCTCGATCGGTTCGCTCGGATATTGCGAAGGATGACAAAGCTACAGCAAATTATGCCAGAAAAGAACAGCACATTTCCAGGAATTCTGTAATACACGCTCGTATCGTAGACACCAAATACTAGCAAAAATAAGTAATAAAGTACTACCGTTCCTCCGAAGATAAAAGCGACGTAAAAGGTGGACAAAAACCTCAGCTTAAACTCTTTCCATCCAAATAAAACTACCATTGTTAGCGGAAACCAAAGATTAGTTATCACCGCTTCAACACTGTCACCGATCAAACGAAGTCGTTTTACAGAAAATGGTAAAGTGTTATTGTGATACTGCCACTCCAAACAAACATCCGTTGTGTTTAAATCAAAATAAAGAAACGCCATTGTGAAAGCCGTTGGTACGAACATAGCGACCGTAATACTCATAGTTGTCCATAAACTTCTTCGAATGGACTCCAAATAGCTTCTCCGTCCAGAGGAAGCACCATCAAGCCTTGTATAATCTGTTAATCTTCCATCAACCAACACTGAGTTTAACCCATAGAAATAATAGACAATAATAGGTCTAATATTTCTATGGTTTAACCGTTCGTTGGTATGAAAGTTCTCGTATTCTTCATTGATATACGGTTGCCATATATCATCGTCAACATCTCCCTGTTCCGCAGGAATTTCTGCTCGCAAAGATACGCGCGGTGTTGCGTTGACGAAAAGCGAAAATAATGACAAAAACATGCCAGTTATTTCTTCCAACATACTGGTAGATTGGTATAATTCACATACAATATTCAATAAACACGATTTAGTTGGCTATTGCCGCTTTGCAGACTATACTGATCATCTTTGACGACGTGTCAAATCACAAATACTTGTGATTGTAATTGTGATTGTAATTGTGATTCATATTGTAATCAAAAATACAAATAATCACAAATATATGTATTTCAAGGAACAGAAGAATATACAACTGCCAAACAGGAAGATGATGTAAATATGTAATCAATTGAAAGTGCGAAAGCCCATATATATGCTCAACTCAAACACAAGAGTATATTACGGTTCTCATGTTCGCGCATGCAGGTTCTGATGTAATTCCTTTGTTGTCCTTCGTTACTACAATATTGGCAACAGTTTAAAACTTTGTCTCTTTGACTTTGTGTTCTTACTTTTTTCTTTTTTGTAAAGCTTGTTATGTAGTAGAAATCATTTAAATTAAATTAAATTGAATTAAATTAAATTGAATTACAGTAAATAAGCATTTCGTTTGTACTACAAAAAAGGCCAAGATATGTCAATTACCTACTTCCGGCTGTAAATTTCAAGGAGCCGAATCTCATTTGGGGTGACAGAAATATAGGATATTTATAGACGGTTGCGAGGAGATATGGATTTTATGTTCGAGTGGCAAAAACAATATCGCACGAGTGAGATATTGTTTTTGACACGAGAACATAAATCCATATCTTCTCGCAACCGTTTAATGATCTGTTTATTATATGGACTTATTCAGAGTGACAAAAATACACACAAAGTGAAGACGACATTTGAATAAGCACGCGAAAGAC